TGAAAATCAGCATCCAGCTTAACAATCAATGAAAAAGAAACAAAACTTTACAACTTGATATACTTAGTTGTAATTCAAAATGGAAAAAATAGAAGCTGATAAACACTACTTTGGTATCTTCAATTACTGCCTAATCTTTAACTCGAAATGTGTTTCTCAGGAAAAAGTGAGCCATACCACACCTCATGGGAACGATAAGCTCGGGACAGTACAGCCAAAGCAGTCACTGCACACTGGAAGCCATGAGCCAATGCCAGGCACACTGTGGATCAGAGTTTCTCAAAGTGACCACCTGGGGCAATTGTCAAAAATGCAGATTCCCAGGCTCCACACCAGATCTACCAAAGCAGATCTCTAGAGGCTGGCCAAGGTTTCTGCTATTTAACAAGCTCCCTGAGTCATTATGTGCACCCAAATTCAAGAACCACGATAGTAGGTGATCGATAAATGTTTGTTGAATTAATTAAAATCTCTATTTTAAAAAATTACAGTATAATTTCACTTGCTGAGAGGGCTCAAAGATAAAAGACAACCAGATATTAATTTGGGGTGTCTTCCATGTCTTTCCCTATATGATTGTATGTGTGTGTATATGATTGCATGTGCATGTGCATGTGCGTGTGTGTGTGTGTGAAGAAACCTGGCTCTCTTCATTGGATCCCCCAGGGTTTACAGTCCCCAGATCCTGTTCAAAAATATTCACCTCTATTAATTCACACTTTTTAAAGAAGCATTTCCTGAAAATTTTTCTCAGTGTATGCTAGGCACTATGAATATCAAAAAAAGTATAAAATACTCCTTGTTGAAGGCTATATAATCTAAATTAAGCAAAATCTGTGTGGTCCAGACTAAAAGTGCTATGAAAGATCAATGTAATTATTGAGTTATACTGTTTGTAGGGCATAGCAAATCTCAGTAACTGGTCAGACAAAACATCCGTGTGAGTTTTAAAAAGATTTTTAAAAATTTCAAGAGAATTCAACATTTGAAAAAGCCACAATGTTGCACAAAGGAAGTGGCAGATAGCTACCAGTGTTTTCTATTACCTATGTTATTAATATTTTTCCTTAAATTGACTCTTTTTTACATATCCTAATTGCTGTGATTTGAATGTCCCCCCAAGCTCATGTTGGAACTTAACCCCCAAAATCATAAGAAATAAATTCTGTTTCTTTATAAATTACCCAGTTTCAGGTATTCTGTTATAGGCAACAGAAAATGAACTAATAATCACAGGCAATCATCTTGAAATCACAGGTTTGACAATGTGCTAGTAGTGATTTCTCTTATCACTACTATACATTAAAATGAAATATACATTAATTGCACATTAAAATGATATACATTACTATGAATACATTTAAATATACATTAAAATGAAAAATAGGAAACAGCGATGTTCACTGAAACTGATGAACACAATGCGGGGAGGGAGAAGTCACTGTGGGCTGAAAACCTTCAGTAAGAGGGAGGACATCAGGGGCAAGAAGGCATTGATCAATTTAGATTGATCTAGAAAGGATACGCTGAGAAAATCTGGAAAAATTCTTGAATCTTTTCAAGCAGGAGTATATCATGGTGAAAGAGTTCTTTAGAGAAACAATGTGACAGACAGGAAAAGCAATGAAAAGCAGCTGGTGAATGGAAAAAACAGTGCCAAGGACGCGCTGGCGAGACTAACAACCAACGTGTGGACTCAAACTTGACCCCAGAATATTGAACCTCAGAAAACTGAACCTCAGAAAATTGCACTTCAGAAAGGAAGCAGTAAGAAGAGAGGGAAAGAGTGAGAAACTTTGGAGAGTTCAGTTGGGATGCTTCGAGGCTATGGTGAAGGGAAGCCTCCAGGGTAGGAATGTCTTGACAGGCAACCAAAGCCAGAGGACAGATCCTGGCGTGGAGGCCATGCCACACCAAGCCCTGAGCTAGACAGAAGGAGAGAGGCCCTCAGAGCAGAGTGAGAACAAAGGGACCAGAGATGAACAGAGGAGAAAACAGAGTCTCTAAGGACAGCCTCCAGTTCACTCAAAATGACCAATTGCGAACATGAACAAAAAGTCTTAAGAAAAAAACTTTACCTTATCTCTTTTCTTAGTTCATCTTCTGCTGCTTGATTTTCTCCAGGGCAAATCTTTGCCCTAAATTTCCTACAATTCTGTTCACCCCGATTTTGCTGTTCGTGATGATGTAACTGCTTTATTCGCTGAGCTAAAGAACTCATGGAAAAGTCAAGGGGCACTATTTTCTTATTAATTTTAACAGCTACATCAACCTGGGAAACAGACATGTTCTGAGTATTCTCCAACTTTTGAGGAATGTCAGAATTTGAAGGAATTTCTTCTTTTTTAAAACGCTTTGTGTTCAAGGATGACAGGTTAGCCGGCTGAGGCAAAACTCTAAATTTAGAGCCAATATCTTCTTGGATTAAACTGCATTCCACATCTGAAAAATGACGGTCCGTTCCGGGCAGTTTCTCACAAGAGTCCACACTTTCCTGTGAGAACCTGTATTCTGGGGAGCTGGCTGCACAGTCACTGCTGCAGTGACTGCCTGCTTCTGGAGTGCTGACCCCTTCCTGAGAGCCAGCTGAAGTGCTGCCGTGCCCCAAGTCCTTCTCCATGTCCACACTGAACTTACGGTCACCAGGGCTCTTAGCGGGACTCGTCACCTCTTGCTGAGGGCCTGGCAAGCCTCTGCCAGAGATGGGATCTGAAGCACTAGAAAACGGTACACTCCTTTTCTGTCGTGGAGAACTCTGTCTTCGTTTAAGAGTCTCCAGGCCCTGAGACCTGTTCTCTGTTGTGTGACGAAGAGAAAAGGCCTCTCTCAGTCTGGAAATAGACACAACCCTTTTCTCTTCCCCTTGAGTCCTTAACGAAGAGGAATTATCCTGCTCTTCTGGCAGAGGCTTTTCCATTTCTGCCGCATGCTTTTTTATTAAGTTACCTAAGTAAACGTGAATGGAGAAGAGTATCAGGGACTGTACTGAAATGGGATAAGTGAATATTTTCATGTGAACAGGCACTTCACAAAAGAAGAGATCCAAATAGCTGATTAAAAACATGAACACTGTTCAACATTAATCATAAAGGAGATACAAATTAAATCCACAGTGTGGTGTGGCCATATACTTACCAGAATGGGTAAAATTTAAAAAAAACAACAAATGCTCACAGGGATGAGGATCAAGTGGGATGCTTGATTACTGCTGGTGGTAGTGAAACTGATACAATCACTTTGTAAAATTCTCTGGGAGTATCTTGCAAATCTAAACATTTGCACACCTGTGACCCAGCATTGCTACCTGTCAGAAATGCCTACCTGGGCTTGCCAAAGACATGTGTGAAGATGCTTGTGACAGCCTTCTTCATTATAGCCCCAAACTGGAAACAACTCAAATATGCACAAAGCAATTGTGATATTTGAATATAGTGGAATACTGTACAGCAACCAGAGTGAATGAATGAATTGTCACACACAACTTGGATGAATCTCACAAACAAAATATTGAGAAAAGAAACAAATTGCAAAAATGTGCAGACTGACTTCAGATTAAAAACAGATAACACTAAACTATGGTGTTAGAAGTCAGGAAAGTGGTTCCCATCGGGGGTTAGTTGTGAAAAGGAACAGAAGAACATTTCTGTGGGTGCTATTTCTTGATCTCAGGGCTGATACACTTATAAACAATACTCCCATGACTTGTTTATTATGTCTGTGTGATTGCTATACTTCAATAAAATGGCTAGAAGACAGCACTGATTCCACCGTGCTTTAAAATGCACAGACTGATCAAGCAGTTTATGCGGCAGCCTCTCAGGCTCAGTATCCTGTGGTGAGCTCAGAGATGCCACCACTGGCTCCTTCCACAAAGATGTGTGTGCAACCAACAATCCTCCACCACGTCCCACACAGAGATACTATGTCCCATGCTACAGAATGGCCAGGAAACGTGTGGCCCTCCCACGTACAAGCCAGCAGTTCTGCCACACAAATGGTGTTGTTTCTGTGCTCCTGTCCTACCACCCAGCAGCCTCATCTGACCGCTCTGGAGTCTTGTGCCTCCACCATGTCCTCTGATTCTCCAAAACTGCCCACTGTGGCCCTCTACAAAAGCTGGCCCCACTGCCTTTTCATTTGACCTCTCCCCACCCTTGGGGTGTTGGGAAATGTCCTCTGTCCCCACTCAGTACCCCACTCCTCCCCAAGCCCCTGGCTCCTGGCTCCTGGCACCCTCAGTTTACAAAGCCTCCTCCCAGAGCATTCTCCTCTCACTGGGAGCAACAGAGGAGAACCTGTCACCTTTACTTTCCACCACACCCTAGGTGCAGCCTCCTCAGCAGCTCTCAGAGGTCTTTATCTCTGCTGAGGACACAGTGATGGGCACCCACCACCTCCAGCCCTCCACATACACACATGGAGATCGGGGCCAGATTGGCTCACTACTTTACAGGAGACAGTAGCCCACCCAAAGGAGTGGGTCTGGCCATCAAAAGGCAATGGCTGAATCTTCCCTCTGCCAAGGAGGGAAGCTGGAGCTCGACTTTGCCCCCCCCCGACCTCCAGATGACCCAGATGCACTTGGTTTGGCTGAATAAAAATAAAACTAATCACTTCAATAAATGGCTGATAATTTATGACCAGGTAAGTAAAATAATGACTGCGCCTACTATTACAAATGTCAAATAAGCCTTGTGGCAACTCTCATGTCAACATGATGCTAAGGGAAGACTGCACAGGGGTGATGCCAGGGAAAATGGCAGAGCAAGGGCCTCCAAAAATTCCCTCCTCCATAAAAGGAAAGAGAAAACGGGCAAAAAATGTCAGAATCAACTTTTTGAGAACTCTGGAAATTAATGAAAGGCTTGCAGTAATCAGGGAATGTTTATTCAAGAAAAACAGCCAAGCTTCAGTATGAACAGTGAGCTTTATGGCCTTTTGACTTGGCCAAGTACCTGCCCTGTGCTCTCTTTGAAAACCAAGATTGCACCAAAACAGCAGCAGCCTGGAAGCCACCAGAGGAGAGAGGACGTACCTGGAGCTCCTTTAAAGGCCCATGTCCCAGAGAACTATGATTATTTGACCTGTCTGGTGGTTTCTGTAACATCCCACTTGCAAGGCTGTCTGTATTTGTCCTCACTCAGTCACCCCATGCAAAAAACCCTTTCCTTGAGAGCCTTGGTTAGGTCAATTCAAGGCAATTGTTTAACATCACAGCCTGAGGCACTGGATAACAGTTGGGCAAATAATAGACTAACCCAAAAGTTTAAAAGAAAAAGCCTGGGAATGAGATGTCCATAGGGGCTTTGAAAAGCTCCTTCTTAAACCTAGGGATCTAGATGGCCACTTGCATGCCCAGGAAAGACCTGAGAAGGCCCGAAGCTCTCACCTCTAGCTGACCTTGATGCTCAGTTACAGCAAGAAGTGAAGGCTAAGGCAGGGTTGTCAACTGCCTGGCTGTGTTGAATGTTGACCCCACTAGGCACACAGAACCCCTTAGCAAAGACTGAGAGATTTACTGATTCCAGCCATTTAAAGACATCTCTGTCTAATAACTGGCTGACCACTAAGCTAACAGAACAGAGACTTCAGTAGCCACACACAACATAAAATAGAAACTTTGCAGAGTTACCAAAGTTAATATCAATAGTATACCAAAACTATTCAGAAGAGTCAATAAACAAACAATAAAAAACAACAAAAACAAACCCTGGGAAGGGGATAGAATCTCATTTCCAGAGTTGTCACATTCTATTATTTAAAATGTCCACTTTCCCCAAGAAAAAAATTATGAGACATGTAAAGAAAAGAGAAAGTGTGCCCATACACAGGGAAAAAAAGCAGTCAATGGAAACTATCCCTGAAGAAGCCCATATGGTGGACTTAACTAGAAGAAGATATTAAATCAGCTATTTTAAATATGTTTAAAGAGCTAAAGGAAACAATTTCTAAAGAACTAAAGGAAAGTATAAAAATGATATCCTACCAAATAAAAATATCAATAGAGAGAAATTATAAAAACTAAAAGTATAATAACTGAAATGATAAGTTCACTAGAAGGGCTCAACAGCAGATGTCCGTAGGCAGAAGAAAAAAATCAGCAAACTTGAAGATAGGATAATTGAAATTATCCAGTTAGAGGAACAGAAAGGAAAATTGAAGGAAAATTAACTGAGCTTTGGAGACCTGTTGGATACCATCAAACATACCAACATCACATAGTGGGTGTTCTAGGAGAAGAGAGACAAAAGGGCAGAAAGATTATTTGAAAAAATAATGTCCGAAAACTCCCCAAATTTAATGAGGCATGAATCTAAGAAACTCACTGAACTCCAAGTAGGATAAAATCAAGAAAATCTCTCTGTACCCAGATGCATCATAATCAAACTGTCAAAAGACAAAGACAGGGCCGGCCTGGTGGTGCACTGCTACAGTGTGCCGCTTGGGAGCGCGGCGGCGCTCCTGCCGAGGGTTCGGATCCCACATACAGACCGGTTCCCGCTCACTGGCTGAGCGAGGTGCGGGCGCAACACCGAGGGTTGCGATCCCGTTGCCAGTCCTGGTCCGGTACGGGCGCGACACTGAGAGTTGCGATCCGTTGCCGGACACGAAAAAAGGGGAAAAAAAAAAAAAAAAAAAAAGACAAAGACAAAGAGAAAATCCTGAAAGCAGCAAGAAGTGACTCATCACATACAAGGGATCCTCAGTAAGATTAACCAACCATTTCTTATCAGAAATCGTGTAGGCCAGAAAGCACTTAGATGACATATTCAACTGAATATACTGTAAGGAGAAGATTATTGACCAAGAATTCTATATCCAACAAAACTATCCTTCACAAAAATGAAGAGATACTAAGGCTGAGAAGATTCCTCACTGCAGAGCTGCCCTACAAGAAATAGTAAAGGAAGTCCTTCAGGATGAAACGAAAGGACACTAGACAGTAACCCAACTCCACATGAGGAAATTAAGAGCACTGTAAAGGTAACTACATAGGTAAATATAAGAGACAGCATAGGGCTGGCCCCGTGGCTCACTCAGGAGAGTGCGGCGCTGGGAGCGCCGAGGCCACAGGTTTGGATCCTATATAGGGATGGCCGGTGTACTCACTAGCTGAGCATGGTGTGGACCACACCGTGCCAGGGTTGCGATCCCCTTACCAGTCAAAAAAAAAAAAAGAGAGACAGCATAAATGTATTTTTTGTTTCTGTTTCTTTTTTCTCCTATCTGATTTAAAAGACAACTGCATAAATAAAAAATCACAAATCTGCGATTTACTGTGTAGTGACAGGCATACAATGTATAAAGATGTAAAGATGCAATTTATATGACAATAACAGGGAGGAATGGAGCTATATAGGAGCAAAGTTTTTGTATACTATTGATATTAACTTGGTATTAATCTGAATTAGATTGCTAGATTAATTGTAATCTCCAGGATGACCAAGAATATCATAACTTAAAAATACATAGTAAAAGAAATGACAAGGCAGTTAAGAATGCACAGGCTCTGTAGACATCTGTTCATCTTATGTCTTACAATTTAGAAAAACTAGAGAGACCATTATGGCCCAAGAAAGACATCATTGCATATTTCAGTGTGTGCTAAATGTGGTCACTCATGCTCTTTTTAACAGGTGACCTTAAATCTGCAGCTACATACTTACCAGTGTGATACATCCTCTCTAAGAGGAGATTTTGTTTCATGTCAAAAAATCTTTACTTTGGAAACAATAAGGAAAGTATCACAATAGTTAAGAGTTGTACAAGCTATTTATACACTATTTTTCTTACCTTCTATATCTAGCAATGGCTGCTGATTGACATTAAGTTTGTTTACATCATTATCAAACATTCCTATCAAAGAGGTCTTTAAAACTGCCAACAAAAGCTTCTCCTCTTGTAATAAAATTTGCCTTTTATCTGGAGTAACATTGATATCAACACATTCTAAGACAAAAAAGAAAACACATTTATTATGTTTAAATCCACCTTTGGTAGTAGAAGTGTCCCCATCTACTATTTCATTCACTTATACTTACCAAAAGTACTTTAAAAAACATTACAGTGTCCAGATTAATACTCATAAATTTTAAAAGTAGCTTTTTCAAGGACCGGCCCATGACTCACTTGGGAGAGTGTGGTGTTGATAACACCAAGGCCATGGGTTTGGATCCCTATATAGGGACAGCTGGTTAGCTCACTTGGGACAGCGTGGTGCTGACAACACCAAATCAAGGGTTTTAGATCCCCTTACCAGTCATTAAAAAAAAAAAAAAAGTAGCTTTTTCAAATAAACAAGGAAAAGATGAACAATTTTTAAAAAACAAAAAAAAATCAAGGGTTTTAGATCCCCTTACCGGTCATTAAAAAAAAAAAAAAAGTAGCTTTTTCAAATAAACAAGGAAAAGATGAACAATTTTTAAAAAACACAAGATATGCAAGGATTTGAATACGTAAATTATAAAAGAAAAAGAGGAAATAAACACATGTATAATAAGAGAAAAATACAAACTAAAATATTTTATTCCCTACCAAATTTAGTTTAAAAATTATAATACCTAGTATATTGTTGGTAGCTGTATAAATTGTACATGTCTAGAATGCAATATAGAAAAAGCCTTAAAATGATCATATTCAGGGGCCGGCCTGGTGGCTCACTCGGTAGAGTGCGGCGCTTGGGAGTGTGGCGGCACTCCCATCAAGGGTTCGGATCCCATATAGAGACTGGTCCGCTCACTGGTTGAGCGTGGTGCGGGCGCGACACCGAGGGTTGCGATCCCGTTGCCAGTCACGGTACGGGCGCGTCACCGAGGGTTGTGATCCCGTTACCGGTCACGAAAAAAGACAAAAAGGAAAAAAAAAATGATCATATTCACTGACCCAGTAATTCCACTTCTAGAAATTTATCTTAAAGAAATAATTAAAGATATAGATAATGATTTTTAATTATGAGGACAGTATTTATAATTTTCAAAAACTAAAAACAACTTAAATACCCCCATAAAGATTTTTTTTAAAAATCAAAATATAACCATGCATAACAATGCAAAATTATGTTACCATAAATTGGAATATAAATGCAGCTATTAAAAACATATTTCTGAATAATTTTTAATAACATGAAAAAGAAAACATTCACGTCTAATGATAAAAAGCAGGATACAAAGTTATTTTCTCCCTTCAAAGGATGTGGGGGTGTGTGTGTATATAAAATATTTTTAGGTATGCATATATATATTTCTAAGTATCTAGAAAAAATACTGGATGACAATAAACCAGAATTTTAACAATCAGAAAAAAAATATCTATATGAAATGAATTATTTTCAAAATCAGGGAGAACACTGTATTCTAGTTTTTCCCTTGGTGAACATAAGTCACACTTCCTAATAATACAATTAATACAGTTTCAAGTAGAAAGCAGCAAAGTCTATATATTAAAAAAAAAAATCACAGGGTTTGTATCCCCATACCAGCCAACCACCAAAATCCCCTCCCCGCCAAAAACCAAAAACAACAAAATTACATTGCCATAAATTGTTATCTCTTTCCATTCACATCAGAGCTTTATAATTTCATTTTTTCTTTTTGGAGTAAGTCACCAATTTTATTGACATCTCAGTGGAACTTACGTGAATCAACAGAAATGTTAAGAACAACAAATGGATATTGGTGTCGATTATACATGTGGTAGATCTCATTCACAAGTCTGGAGACCTGCACAAAAAACAAAGTTTAGAATAAATGTTCCCTTCCCCCAATGTTCTACAACATGCTACTATAACCAACCCCCAAAGAGATACATTTTTTTCTAGCCAGAGATACATTTTTTAACAGCTTTACTGAGGTATTACTGACATGCAATAAACTACACATATTTAAACTGCACAATTTGTTGTTTTTTGTTTTAGTTTGGTTTTTGGTGGCTGGTTAGTAAGGGAATCCAAACCCCTGACACTGGTGTTATCAGCACCACACTCTAAACAAATGAGCTAAACAGCCACTCTGATAAGTTTTGATATATGTATAAATACACCTGTGAGATTATCCCCACAATCAAGATAATAAATATATCCATCACCCAAAAAGTTTCCTCATGCCCCTCAAAGGGCTATTTTTAATCATTGACTTCTAAAACGGAATCTTTTTCCAATCTAAAGATGCTCTTGAAGAAATTTTAATGAAATGCAGGTGCAGTTTAAATGTTCATAACATACATTCAAATCTACAAAGAAACCCATTTACATGATATTATAATGAGATTATTAAATGGCATTAGAGATAAACCATAAAATCACATTAATTATAATATAAGTTAAAAAATTTAGAAGTTGAACCATATCTGGGAGATACAAGTGAATTTAACAGTGTCATTGGAAAACAGAAAATATTACTGAGGTATAATTTTGTTGAAGACACAAAGTCAAAACTAAACCACTAAAAACCCATGTAACCATATCAAAATGATCAGTTTAAATTTGAGGCAGAAGTAATCTGGGCCCTTATTTTCCTCGAAAATGGACAGAAAATATTAAAACAATGCATGTCACCAGTCTATACTGAAAAGTCTACACGATGACAAATGTTTTAAAATGTTTACTTTCCTCACATAGTTATGGTTTTTATGATAATATACTGGTAGTTAATATGTGTTTACATATTTATGGTATATATATATATACCCACACACATATATACAATTGAAACAACTGTATAGTAGGCTTTTTTAAATGCCTAAAATAATTTTAAAGCCATGTTTCTGAGTCAAAGTCCCAAGTTCCATGTAAATTGCCTGTACCAGAAAAAGTTACTAAATAATAAAGAAAACAAAAAGTCAAATGCACAAAGAATAAAGTAATACAAAACTATTTTTAAATACCTTTGCTAGGTCACAGGGCCGCCGATTGATAAAGAAAAACTGTCTGTCTGTGGAACTCCTTCCAACACCGTGAGCACAGTGTGAAATGAAACCTGAGACGCTATGCAGTGGGAATACAGTAAGGGCAGGATTCCAGAGTGAAAAGGATTAGAAACACATATCACATGGCCCATCCTTACAGTGAAATAAAAACAAAACACCTGGTGACATGCTGATAGGATACACATTTCAGCTAATGTGCATCTGTGCTTCACCCTGATGAATCATAAAAAGAACCCAGACCTTCTGGAATGCTCTATCGTCAACAAATCCACCACCAGAAATGCAGTGAGTTCAAAAGTGATTTGCTTCAGCTCTCCTTTAACCTTCCCTATTAAATCCCTGACCTCTATCCAAGGAGTGGGTCCATCCCAAATCCATTCTCAGAACCTTCCTATTGTCCCCACGGGCTTGTCAACGGCGTCTAACCACTTATATTCACAATCTTTGTCTCCCCTGTTAAAATCTGCTCTTAGTTCCAAACCTCGGTCTACTAAGATGTTGATAAAATACTTGTTCCGTATGAGATCCACCCCAGGGATGTTTGCATTTCCCTAAGAATACCTAACATAAAGAAATGAATCTCCATCTCTGCAATTTCAGGCATGAACCAAAAGCAAGTGGAGGAAAAGTAGGGAATATGGATCTTTACAGGTCACTCCTGCTTACGGAACTATCTATTTTTGTTACACAAAAAAAGTTATGATGTGTTTAATCTGCCTTCACCAGATCCAAATAAACCCAAACATTATAGAGAAAACAATTTAAAAATTATTCTTGCTAAACAGAGCCTTAATAAAGACTTATTTAACAGGAAACCTCCTGAAAAGCACCTGTTACCCAGAATACTGTTTGAATCAAGTAACTGAGTCCTTTCTAGAAATCTTCTTTCTCTGCAATAACACTGCCCACAGTTTTATAAGGAACTCTTAAAAAAAAAAAAAAAAAACTCCTCAGAAAAAAATGCTGGATTGTAGTTTCCCTGGCAGCAATCTACTTACTAAAACAGATTATGCAGAGCATCAGAACAGCTCAGACAGTACTCTTCGCAGACGGAGTCACTAGGCGGCTGCTGAACAAAAGGAATGAGGCTTTGCAACTAAAAGAAAACAAGAGTCACAATTATTCCCTAATAAAGAATGGACCTAACTTCAGACAAGAAGATGTAATGAGGGTTTTTGTGTGTCTTCTTTCCTAGTCAAGCTATCCACACTAAAGCACAAAGAAATTCAAAGAATCTCAACAACTACTTTGTAGTGCTATAATAATTCTGATTTTTTACTAGAAAGATGAAACCCTTAGGCTCCTACTTATTCATAATCAACACACTGCCCACAGTGCTTTATATTTTGTCAGGTAGAATTAAAGGATGCATATTTTATTCTCTGCAAGATTAAAATAAAAACCTTTCATCTCCCAAACGCTAATTTTTGTGATGGGTACTTAAAAAAAAAAAATCCATTTTTGGATTTTATTCTCTGTTGTATTAGAAAGGACAATAGAAACCTACCACAATCACTAGAGCAGTAAAATGTTTTTAAGTAACTGGGCACTACTACCTGCTTCTGCCCAAACACAGATCCAATATTTTCCTTCATGCTGGAGCTTCCACTTGTGCATACCACAGGCTGTCGTTTTCCCTGTCCAAGCTGATTGGTGCAACTTACACGGATGCCTGCTGAAATGATACAGTATGCATGTAACACCTGGACCATCTTGGCATATTCCTGTTCAAAGAAGCACAAACACAAGACTCAGCATTACTTTCATCTTACAGGAATTACATGGTTTGAGTTATAACACACAATTCAAGGTTCTCATACACCTCACATATAAGGGGAAGTATTACTGACAGAACGATCTACGAAGAGGCATCTCCCTATATGGTATAAAAAGGAACGCCAAGGCGCTGGCTCCTAGTCACAGACATCTCACTTCCAGATGCTCCATGCCCACTGCTACGCAAATCAAAAGTTACATTCTCTTTGACCTCCCCTAGAAATTTTTCCTTGTAGAAAGACTGACACAAGCATACAAAGATATATTACAAAAATGTTCACTGAAACAATCTGCAACTGTGAAAAACCTGAAACACCCTAAGCAACCATCAGCAAGGAGCTAATTAAATTAATTATGATATATCCATATCATGGTGGAATGACAAAGAATAAGGTAGTGCACATTGACCAAAAAGATAATTACAATATGCTAAGTGAAAAGTCAGCTACACAAGAGCATATATAATATCATCCTGTTTTAAAAAAATCTAAATGGATACATAAAGATTGCATATACACATATACATTTAAAGTCTAAAGGATATAAACCAAACTCCGGTGGAGTGGGCAGGGACAATTTCAACTTTCCACCATATATGATTCTGTATTACTTGAACAATGTACATTCCATACTACTCGTTTTCATTACATTAATTTATGTATTTATCTTGAAAATTTCCCAATACTTATAAACACATGAAATTAAAAGGAGTCTGAAAAGACGCACAAACTGTTAATAATGGTCATTTCTGACAAGTACAAGTTCTATATTCCTGCATTTTTCTGAAGTACTAATTTTTTACCATAAGATACAAAAATAATAAGAGTTTCCTCAACTTTTGAAGTTAAAATTAGCAAAAATTGCTTTACAAGTAAACAAAATTTTTTTTTTTTGTCTTTTTTCGTGACCGGCAACGGATCACAACCCTCAGTGTCGCGCCCGTACCGGACCGGGACCGGCAACGGGATCGCAACCCTCGGTGTCGCACCCGCACCTCGCTCAGCCAGTGAGCGGCCGGTCTGTATGTGGG